ACAGGAAGGTTTCACTGTGTGTGTGTGTGTGTAGTAAGATATGACAGGAAGGTTTCACTGTGTGTGTGTGTGAATGTGTGTGCAGTAAGATATGACAGGAAGGTTTCACTGTGTGTGTGTGTAATAAGATATGACAGGAAGGTTTCACTGTGTGTAGTAAGATATGACAGGAAGGTTTTACTGTGTGTAGTAAGATATGACAGGAAGGTTTCACTGTGTGTAGTAAGATATGACAGGAAGGTTTCACTGTGTTTAGTAAGATATGACAGGAAGGTTTCACTGTGTGTAGTAAGATATGACAGGAAGGTTTAACTGTGTGTAGTAAGATATGACAGGAAGATTTCACTGTGTGTAGTAAGATATGACAGGAAGGTTTCACTGTGTGTGTGTGAATGTGTGTGCAGTAAGATATGACAGGAAGGTTCACTGTGTGTGTGTGTAGTAAGATATGACAGGAAGGTTTCACTGTGTGTGAGTGTGTGTGTGTAGTAAGATATGACAGGAAGGTTTCACTGTGTGTAGTAAGATATGACAGGAAGGTTCACTGTGTGTGTGTGTAGTAAGATATGACAGGAAGGTTTCACTGTGTGTGAGTGTGTGTGTGTAGTAAGATATGACAGAAAGGTTTCACTGTGTGTAGTAAGATATGACAGGAAGGTTCACTGTGTGTGTGTGTAGTAAGATATGACAGGAAGGTTTCACTGTGTGTGAGTGTGTGTGTGTAGTAAGATATGACAGGAAGGTTTCACTGTGTGTAGTAAGATATGACAGGAAGGTTTCACTGTGTGTGTGTGTGAATGTGTGTGCAGTAAGATATGACTGGAAGGTTTCACTGTGTGTGTGTGTGTAATAAGATATGACAGGAAGGTTTCACTGTGTGTAGTAAGATATGACAGGAAGGTTTCACTGTGTGTGTGTGAGTGTGTGTGTGTAGTAAGATATGACAGGAAGGTTTCACTGTGTGTAGTAAGATATGACAGGAAGGTTTCACTGTGTGTGTGTGTAGTAAGATATGACAGGAAGGTTTCACTGTGTGTGTGTGTGAATGTGTGTGCAGTAAGATATGACAGGAAGGTTTCACTGTGTGTGTGTGTAGTAAGATATGACAGGAAGGTTTCACTGTGTGTAGTAAGATATGACAGGAAGGTTTCACTGTGTGTGTGTGAGTGTGTGTGTGTAGTAAGATATGACAGGAAGGTTTCACTGTGTGTAGTAAGATATGACAGGAAGGTTCACTGTGTGTGTTTAGTAAGATATGACAGGAAGGTTTCACTGTGTGTAGTAAGATATGACAGGAAGGTTTCACTGTGTGTAGTAAGATATGACAGGAAGGTTTCACTGTGTGTAGTAAGATATGACAGGAAGGTTTCACTGTGTGTAGTAAGATATGACAGGAAGGTTTCACTGTGTGTGAGTGTGTGTGTGTGTAGTAAGATATGACAGGAAGGTTTCACTGTGTGTAGTAAGATATGACAGGAATGTTTCACTGTGTGTAGTAAGATATGACAGGAAGGTTTCACTGTGTGTGTGAGTGTGTGTGTGTAGTAAGATATGACAGGAAGGTTTCACTGTGTGTGTGTGAGTGTGTGTGTGTAGTAAGATATGACAGGAAGGTTTCACTGTGTGTAGCAAGATATGAAAGGAAGTTTCACTGTCTGTGTGTGTGTGTGAATGTGTGTGTAGTAAGATATGACAGGAAGGTTTCAATGTGTGTGTGTGTGTGTGTGAATGTGTGTGTGTGTAGTAAGATATGACAGGAAGGTTTCACTGTGAGTGTGTGTGTGTGTGTGTGTATGTGTGTGTAGTAAGATATGACAATGAAACTGTCTGTTGTCTTTAAATCACGGATTGTTACAATAGTGAAGAAAAACAATAGCGGGTTAAAACAATAGTTTATTCAGAGTTACATTAAGTGAAATAAACAGATGTATTATTTATAGACATATAAAATGGTTACTATCAGATCAGATATATAAAAACTGTCCAACAGAATCCTATCAACTCTTTTAATGGGGTAGTCTCCCTTTTAAAGATGAAGCTAAGGCAGACAACTTGACAAATGGAGTGATTGTGATGTAGTGATGATTGTGATGTAGTGATGATTGAAACAGCCTACAACAAAGCAGACAGTAATAGGAGGATAAAACGTGTTGTATAGCTGGAGTTGACAAAGATGTAGAGAGATGCTATACAAAGCCCCACTAAGCTGATCTGATGGTGTAAAACTTGCACAACAGATCAAAAGGTCGAACAAATTAAGTAGACACATGAGATTGCACTTAAAAACAATATTAAGTAGACACATGAGATTGCACTTAAAAACAATGGTTAAAATACTGAGAGTTGAAAGACTTGTTTGGTCTCAAATAAAAAGATAAACAAACCAAATTAAAAACAGTTTCAGTGGATCCCAGAAGATTACACAACCAAAAGTGAGTGGTGAGGTTTCCATTCCAACAAAAAACGTTTTTTTGTTGTTTTAAAGATTGCACATAGTGAATTGGATTAAATCAATGATAATATCAACAACATATTCAACTGTGTACACACAATACATTAAATCTCAAATAGGATTATGACATAACTTAATTATACGTACTCATGGCGCCATGGGTGAAAAAAAGATTTCCCTAATGCAATATACAGTTTGTATTTTGTAAAGAGAAAAAGCCATACAACAGATACCATTTAGCCAGTACATAGAACTGTGAGCACTGAGACTAAGCAAATGGAATGATATGACAGCTAGATAAACAAATAATTTGAAGTTACTTCAGCAGAGTTAGCTGGTGGCTCACCATAAACTAACAACATCACCATAATGGTGCAGTGCATGACAAGCTACAGTAGCTTCATCAACAACTCAGATACACCACTAATATAAATGTAATAAACAACATCATTAATTAGACCAGACACACCATAATTAATGACAGACACATGAACATTAATGAAATTCGTCATTAATTACACAAGAGGCACACCATCAATGAGATAAACAAGCCATCAATAATGAAACATCATTAATGAGATGAGACACACCATCATTAATGAGACGACAGACACACCATCATTAATGAGACGACAGACACACCATCATTAATGAGATGACAGACACACCATCATTAATGAGGTATGACACACCATCATTAATGAGTTGACAGACACACCATCATTAATGAGACAACAGACACACCATCATTAATGAGGCACTAGACACACCATCATTAATGAGATGACAGACACACCATCATTAATGAGGTATGACACACCATCATTAATGAGTTGACAGACACACCATCATTAATGAGTTGACAGACACACCATCATTAATGAGACAACAGACACACCATCATTAATGAGGCACTAGACACACCATCATTAATGAGACGACAGACACACCATCATTAATGAGATGACAGACACACCATCATTAATGAGACCCATCCCAATGAGACTCAGCAGTACTGAGACCCATGTAACACCACAACCAGCCAGGTGCGACCCATGTAACACCACAACCAGTCAGGTGCCACAACTAGAACATGAATGGATTAGATCCCAACTTCAACATTTTCATTTCAAGTATTTTATCTTCCCTCAGACATGTCAACTATACAGAGTTAGTTTGCTTTCCAAAAATGTCAACTTCTTATACGTAAAATTTCTAATGTCACTTTTTAATTTAACATCCGAATTATTTTTACAGCAACACTTTTAGATCAGAGATGACTTCTCAGTGAATATTAGTCAGAGGAAGGAGAGTTACACCCAACGGGAGTCATGTGACCTGTCATTTGTTTGACCTTTGGTAACTTGGCTCAAAAAACCACTGGAGTCACGCCTTTTATTCCCTCTGTAATAGTCAAATAGGATAAAAAAGATTGTTAGACAAGTTGTCTAGAGTTATTTCCCCTCCCTTGGCTAAAGATACTACATTTCTAAATCTGACCCATTAGATTGTGACTCCAATGAATTTTAAAACCAAGCTTTTCAACTACAAAAAAAATATGAAACCAGTTCATTAAAGTTTCATTAAACTGTTGAAGTACAGAGATTAAACCAAGTCATTAATATTTCATTAAACTGTTCAAGTACCAACATTGTTTTTCTAGAAACTAATTGCACCTATTCCTGTACGTGGTTTATAATGAGGACAAGACCATAGGTGTACAGTACCATTCAAAGATAGAAAAACTGTATCAGGTTAGTTAGTACAAAACTACGTTGATCCAATATCAGAACAGGAACAAAACCATTGTAGGATTTATGGAGTTTATTGGGTTATGATAGGACTTTAGGTGATAGGGAGTTAGGAGGGGGGTGATAACAGAGAAATAATAAACCCACCTTTAATGCTAGGTATTAACACACCTTTACTGTAAGGTGTGAATACACCTTCAGTGTGAGATGTGAACACACCTTTAGTGTGAGATGTGAACACACCTTTAATGTGAGATGTGAACACACCTTTAGTGTGAGATGTGAACACACCTTCAGCGTGAGATGTGAACACACCTTTACTGTAAGGTGTTAACACACCTTCAGTGTGAGATGTGAACACACCTTCAGTGTGAGATGTGAACACACCTTTAGTGTGAGATGTGAACACACGTTTAGCATCAAGCTTAAATCAACCTTAAATGTGTGAACCCACCTTTACTGTCATGTGACACCAGTTGAAATGTCACATGTCATGTGGACCCACCTGAAATGTCATGTGTCATAGTCATATGTGATCCAAACCTGATATGTCATGTGGCATGTGGACCCAGTAGAAATGTCACATGTCATGTGGTCCAAGTAGAAATGTCACATGTCATGTGGACCCAGTAAAAATGTCACATGTCATGTGTCCCCAGTAAAAATGTCACATGTCATGTGGACCCAGTAAAAATGTCACATGTCCTGTGTCCCCAGTAAAAATGTCACATGTCATGTGTCCCCAGTAAAAATGTCACATGTCATGTGGACCGAGCTGAAATGTCAAGTGCACCCACCTGCAGCTTGTTGTAGAGCTCCAGGTTGATGGTCTTGATGTCGTCCAGCTGTTTCCTGAGGGTGATGACCGTGTCCTGCTTCTCATGGATGTCCTTCTCCAACAGCCTCAGTGCCATCTCCATCTCCGTCTTCATGCTGATCTGTAGCTCCAACTCTTTCTCCACATCCTGGCAGGGGAGGTAACACAGTTAAATAGTTCAACTTACACAGGGGAGGTACACAGAATGACACCCATGTTTGCACAAGAACAATGTCATTAATTTAGATTCATTAAAAAAAAATTGAAAGGTACACAATCAAAAAAATCAGCACACACATATTAAACATTTGAAAAGCCTGAAAAAATAAACACTTAACAAAAACCTGAGAACAAAATTATTTGTTTATCTGGCTGTCAAATATATCATTCCATTTGCTTAGTCTCAGTGCTCACAGTTCTATGTACTGTCTAAATGGTATCTGTTATATGGCTTTTTCTCTTTACAAAATACATACTGTAAATTGCGTAAGGGAAATCTTTTATGAACTGGATGGGTAAACCAACTAGCAACATCACCACAAATGGGGATGGACATTTGTCAGTGTAGGTAAACCAACTAGCAACATCACCACAAATGGGGATGGACATTTGTCAGTGTAGGTAAACCAACTAGCAACATCACCACAAATGGGGATGGACATTTGTCAGTGTAGGTAAACCAACTAGTAACATCACCACAAATGGGGATGGACATTTGTCAGTGTAGGTAAACCAACTAGTAACATCACCACAAATGGGGATGGACATTTGTCAGTGTAGGTAAACCAACTAGCAACATCACCACAAATGGGGATGGACATTTGTCAGTGTAGGTAAACCAACTAGCAACATCACCACAAATGGGGATGGACATTTGTCAGTGTAGCAGACACAACTGAACTGAATGGAGTGAGATAGAGAGGTGTCCTATGAAGCTACTGATGTAACACTGTGAGCTGAGTTCTTGATGTGTACTTGTAGGTTGTAGTCCCAAATAGAGAAGACAAGGTAAGATTTATTCTTGCAATTCTATATCACCAAAACCTAGCTAGGAGAATTAAATGTCCCTTTATACCAAACCTTCTACAATCAACATAATAATACAAAGTAAAGAAACATTTGTAACATTATAACTAGGACAACAGCCAACTAAGCCCCTCCCCCCACACCTGCAATGGAATTAGATGGGACAGTCAACTAAGCCCCCCCCCACACACACACACACACACCTGCAATGGAATTAAGAGGGACTGCAGATGACACTATGTTAGCTACAACAGGGCAAACATGGGACCACAACTTTACACAGGAATTTTCTTTTAGCTACTTAAAAACTGTTTTTATAAGCTCCAGATCTACTTGGTTCATTGAACTCAAGTACCCAATTAACATCAAAAGATATAGCTTTTGTTCCTTTAAATCTTAATCAAACTTAAATCCCAGACAGCACCTCATTAACATGAAACAAAACAAAGTAAAAAAAAACTACCAACTAAAATTAAAAGAAAATTACCCACTAAAAAAAAAAACTACCAACTAAAATAAAAGAAAACTACCAACTAAAATAAAACAAAACAAAAACTACCAACTAACATGAAAAGCAAATTACCAACTAAAATAAAACAAAACAAAAACTACCAACTAAAATTTAAAAAAAAACTACCAACTAAAATAAAAGTAGAGCAGTCAGATTAAACACAACAAATTTAGGTAAAACTAACATGTTTCTAAACATTGGAAATAAAATAGTGAAGCATAAATTAAACGTATATAGTATATAAGAACTTTACGTAGCTGAAATTTTTGTAAACTGAGACCTAGTTTTCTAAATAAACCAAGCATGAACTGAATATGCAGTATTTGGCAAACCATAAGTATGAAGAGAATGTGCACTAATATACTCAAATAAATATGAAAAGAATATGCGATATTCTAGAGCAACCAAGTATAAAGAGAATGTGGGCTAATCTAGAGCAACCAAATATGAATGTGGGCTAATCTAGAGCAACCAAGTATGAATGTGGGCTAATCTAGAGCAACCAAGTATGAATGTGGGCTAATCTAGAGCAACCAAGTAGAATGTGGGCTAATCTAGAGCAACCAAGTAGAATGTGCGCTACTGTAGCCACGTCCATGTGCCAGGATCTCACTTTGTTAGTGGAGTTAATACTGGTCTGTGGACCCACCAGTCTAAGCTTGGTCTCCTCGTCTAACTGCTTCTTCGCATCAGCGTACATTATGTCAAGGCCAGCCCTGGAGGTCATGTACGTCTCACGTTCTGTGTCGATGTCTTGTTTGGCAGCCTGGAAATGTAAAACATGCCCAGGTAAACTTAGGAAATGTAAAACATTGCCAGGTAAACTTAAGAAATGTAAAACATGGGCAGGTAAATGAATCAAAAAAAGAAAACTTTATTGGAAGTAGGGAGTGGTTATGTATAGTAGTCAGGTGGAGAAGAACGCTGGGAGTGTCTTTATGGTCTTAAACATAATGTAGCTAAACGTTGTCTAAGTTAGCCCAGTGTTTGTCCAGGTGTTTGTCCAGGTGTTTGTCCAGGTGTTTGTCCAGGTGTTTGTCCAGGTGTTTGTCCTGGTGTTTGTCCAGGTGTGCACGTCTACACCCTGACTGTGTCCATGTACCAGACGTGTGGCGTACCTCAATCTGTTTTTGGTAGCCTGTGGTGACGTTGTCCCTCTCACTCCTGAGCCCCTCCACCTCGGCCTGTAGGGTGATGATGGTGTTTTTGGCGATGGCCAGGTCCTCCTTCATCAGACAGTTGTCAGCTTGGACCTGCTCCAACTTCTGCTGTAGGTTGGCCACTGTAGCGCTGGGGGTAGACCAAGTTACACACAAATATTAGCTTGTTCATACACACACGTCAGCCTAACATCACATACAAACTTGTTCATACATACACATCATAACATCACATAGAAACGTGTTCATACACACGTCATCATAACATCACATACAAACTTGTTCATACACACACATCATAACATCACATACAAACTTGTTCAGCCTAACATCACATACAAACTTTTCTACACACATTTAATTACAACATCTCAGGAGTTATCATTTCTGGCATTTTATTTTCAAAATCTAAAAACAAACTTGTAACTATTGACTTATGTTGATAAAATGTATTATTTATTAAAATTGATTATCTCCCCTAAATGGTTCCAATCAAAATAGGTATCTAAGATGATCACAGAATGACTACATTAACAGAATGAGCCCTGACTACATTAACAGAATGAGCCCTATGTTGACTTGTGGATATGCACCCACCTTTCACCAGAAGAAAGCTAACACTATTTTCCTGACTCTGTCTGTCAGCTACTTACTTTAAGTGCCTGTTCAGTTCTTCTAGATAGTTTTTCTGGTCGAGTATGGTGGCCATTTTAGAGTCTCCCTCCGCCCTGTAAAACAAGGAAACTCAAAAGTTGTTTTTTCTGTTGTAATCATCGGGTCAAGTTATCCAAAGCTAATTACAAAAATAACGAGGTCACTCACCTTTCATCGTCTCCACTGTCGCTGTATTTTCCATCCTTCATGTACAGGCTAAAATCTATGACCCCCATCTGAAACATACAGGCTAAAATCTATGACCCCCATCTGAAACATATGTACAGGCTAAAATCTATGACCCCCATCTGAAACATACAGGCTAAAATCTATGACCTGAGACCTTTTGTCCTAAGACATTTTGTCTTGAAACATTTTGTCATGAGACCTTATGTCCTGAGACATTTTGTCCTGAGACATTTTGTCCTGAGACCTATGTCCTGAGACCTTATGTCCTGAGACATTTTGTCCTGAGACCTTATGTCCTGAGACCTTATGTCCTGAGACCTAATGTCCTGAGACCTTATGTCCTGAGACCTTATGTCCTGAGACCTTATGTCCTGAGACCTTATGTCCTGAGACCTTATGTCCTGAGACCCCCAGGACTTACGGGTTGGTCCAGGTCCTCCCCCTTGATACACATGTTACAGTCGAGGACATTGAGCCCCACCAGAAGTCCTGCTATCACCACACCCTCCTCCTCCAGCATGAAGGCACCAGGCTCATAGTAATCTCTGGAGACAGAAACATTCAATCAGTAGACCTACACCTGGCTCATAGTAATCTCTGGAGAAACATACAAACAGAACATTCAACAACCAGTAGACGTCCCCAAGACATTCAACAATCAGACTTAAAAAACTGAGTTATTTAATGTTAAAAAGTAACTACAAAACAATATGTAAGAAATTTATCCCAACAAATATATGTAATAAAATTGTCCCTCTGTCATCAATCAATAAGAAACATTTGAAAGAAAACTTTCTCTGTCAGAACATTGTCCTTTTATGATGAACTAATAACAAAAATAATTAATTGTCCCCCACAAACATGAGTGAGAAAAAATTATCCCTACAAACATAAATGAGAAAACTCTCTAGAAACATACATGAGAAAATAGACCCCACAAACGTACAAACGTCTCTACAAACATACGTGAGAAAATTGTCTCTAGAAACATACGTGAGAAAATTGTCTAGTAACATACGTGAGAAAATTGTCTCTACAAACATACGTGAGAAAATTGTCTCTACAAACATACGTGAGAAAATTGTCTCTAGAAACATACGTGAGAAAATTGTCTAGTAACATACGTGAGAAAATTGTCTCTACAAACATACGTGAGAAAATTGTCTCTAGAAACATACGTGAGAAAATTGTCTCTAGAAACATACGTGAGAAAATTGTCTCTAGAAACATACGTGAGAAAATTGTCTCTACAAACATACGTGAGAAAATTGTCTCTAGAAACATACGTGAGAAAATTGTCTAGTAACATACGTGAGAAAATTGTCTCTAGAAACATACGTGAGAAAATTGTCCCTCTTTTCTATCATGAGCTTGAAGTAATCTGCAAGGGACTTCTGCATCATGGCCAGTCTCAGCCACGCCCTCGCCCTGCCCAGGGGAGTCCTGAAAAATAAGATAGCTGTTAGTCATTTGGATCAATAGGCTAGTACAGTCAACTAGAACAACATTGATACAAATCTTAAAAGTCTTTCATTTTAGACAGCCATTTGATAAAACAAATTGTTTTTTTTTTTTTCAATTATTTCTCACCAAAGCTGTCAGAGGAGTTAGACAAGTGAGGACTATTTAAAGGTTACCAAAAGACCCACTTAGAGAACAACAAAAAGCCACCTACGGGTCACCAAAAGACCCACCTAGCGGTCACACAAAAAAAATTATCTAGAGTTGACCAAAAAGACCCACCTAGAGAACAACAAGACCCAATTAGGGGTCACCAAAAGACCCACCTAGGGGTCACCAAAAGACCCACCTATGGGTCACCAAAAGACCCACCTGATATTTGGCATCTCCCTAACACTTGTTGTTATCTCCGCAGCCTCTGGTGCTAATTTCTCTATACTCTCTAGAACCCACCAGAACTCTTTCTTGGAACTCAGGATTCCTTTCTTTGCTGCCAGAATTTACAGACATACATTCATTATAAGTAAAATCATATAGATATACATGTGTCCTATTTCAGGAATTTTAAAAAATTACAAGATGTGTTAGCCAGACAACTCACATACATGTTACAACTATACAGACAGGTAAGATAAAATAGACAGGTAAAACATGTCACAACTATACAGACAGGTAAGATAAAATAGACAGGTAAAACATGTCACAACTATACAGACAGGTAAGATAAAATAGACAGGTAAAACATGTCACAACTATACAGACAGGTAAGATAAAATAGACAGGTAAAACATGTCACAACTATACAGACAGGTAAGATAAAATAGACAGGTAAAACATGTCACAACTATACAGACAGGTAAGATAAAATAGACAGGTAAAACATGTCACAACTCTACAGACAGGTAAGATAAAATAGACAGGTAAAACAACATGTCACAACTATACAGACAGGTAAGATAAAATAGACAGGTAAAACATGTCACAACTATACAGACAGGTAAGATAAAATAGACAGGTAAAACATGTCACAACTCTACAGACAGGTAAGATAAAATAGACAGGTAAAACATGTCACAACTATACACACAGGTAATTTAAAATAGACAGGTAAAACATGTCACAACTATACAGACAGGTAAGATAAAATAGACAGGTAAAACATGTCACAACTCTACAGACAGGTAAGATAAAATAGACAGGTAAAACAACATGTCACAACTATACAGACAGGTAAGATAAAATAGACAGGTAAAACATGTCACAACTATACAGACAGGTAAGATAAAATAGACAGGTAAAACATGTCACAACTCTACAGACAGGTAAGATAAAATAGACAGGTAAAACATGTCACAACTATACACACAGGTAATTTAAAATAGACAGGTAAAACATGTCACAACTATACAGACAGGTAAGATAAAATAGACAGGTAAAACATGTCACAAATATACAGACATGTAAGATAAAACAGGTAAAACAACATGTCACAACTATACAGACAGGTAAGATAAAATAGACAGGTAAAACAACATGTCACAACTATACAGACAGGTAAGATAAAATAGACAGGTAAAACATGTCACAACTATACAGACAGGTAAGATAAAATAGACAGGTAAAACATGTCACAACTCTACAGACAGGTAAGATAAAATAGACAGGTAAAACATGTCACAACTATACAGACAGGTAAGATAAAATAGACAGGTAAAACATGTCACAACTCTACAGACAGGTAAGATAAAATAGACAGGTAAAACAACATGTCACAACTATACAGACAGGTAAGATAAAATAGACAGGTAAAACATGTCACAACTCTACAGACAGGTAAGATAAAATAGACAGGTAAAACATGTCACAACTATACAGACAGGTAAGATAAAATAGACAGGTAAAACATGTCACAACTATACACACAGGTAATTTAAAATAGACAGGTAAAACATGTCACAACTATACAGACAGGTAAGATAAAATAGACAGGTAAAACATGTCACAACTATATAGACAGGTAAGATAAAACAGGTAAAACAACATGTCACAACTATACAGACAGGTAAGATAAAATAGACAGGTAAAACATGTCACAACTATACAGACAGGTAAGATAAAATAGACAGGTAAAACATGTCACAACTCTACAGACAGGTAAGATAAAATAGACAGGTAAAACATGTCACAACTATACAGACAGGTAAGATAAAATAGACAGGTAAAACATGTCACAACTATACAGACAGGTAAGATAAAATAGACAGGTAAAACATGTCACAACTCTACAGACAGGTAAGATAAAATAGACAGGTAAAACATGTCACAACTATACACACAGGTAATTTAAAATAGACAGGTAAAACATGTCACAACTCTACAGACAGGTAAGATAAAATAGACAGGTAAAATAACATGTCACAACTCTACAGACAGGTAAGATAAAATAGACCGGTAAAACATGTCACAACTATACAGACAGGTAAGATAAAATAGACAGGTAAAACAACTCCATGTCACAACTCTACAGACAGGTAAGATAAAATAGACAGGTAAAACATGTCACAACTATACAGACAGGTAAGATAAAATAGACAGGTAAAACATGTCACAACTATACAGACAGGTAAGATAAAATAGACAGGTAAAACATGTCACAACTCTACAGACAGGTAAGATAAAATAGACAGGTAAAACATGTCACAACTATACACACAGGTAATTTAAAATAGACAGGTAAAACATGTCACAACTCTACAGACAGGTAAGATAAAATAGACAGGTAAAACAACATGTCACAACTCTACAGACAGGTAAGATAAAATAGACAGGTAAAACATGTCACAACTATACAGACAGGTAAGATAAAATAGACAGGTAAAACATGTCACAACTATACAGACAGGTAAGATAAAATAGACAGGTAAAACATGTCACAACTATACAGACAGGTAAGATAAAATAGACAGGTAAAACATGTCACAACTATACAGACAGGTAAGATAAAATAGACAGGTAAAACAACATGTCACAACTCTACAGACAGGTAAGATAAAATAGACAGGTGAAACATGTCACAACTATACAGACAGGTAAGATAAAATAGACAGGTAAAACATGTCACAACTATACAGACAGGTAAGATAAAATAGACAGGTGAAACATGTCACAACTATACAGACAGGTAAGATAAAATAGACAGGTGAAACATGTCACAACTATACAGACAGGTAAGATGAAATAGACAGGTAAAACATGTCACAACTATACAGGCAGGTAAGATAAAATAGACAGGTAAAACATGCCACAACTATACAGGCAGGTAAGATAAAATAGACAGGTAAAACATGTCACAACTATACAGACAGGTAAGATAAAATAGACAGGTAAAACATGTCACAACTATACAGACAGGTAAGATAAAATAGACAGGTAAAACATGTCACAACTATACAGGCAGGTAAGATAAAATAGACAGGTAAAACATGTCACAACTATACAGACAGGTAAGATAAAATAGACAGGTAAAACATGTCACAACTATACAGACAGGTAAGATAAAATAGACAGGTAAAACATGTCACAACTATACAGACAGGTAAGATAAAATAGACAGGTAAAACATGTCACAACTATACAGACAGGTAAGATAAAATAGACAGGTAAAACTCCATGTCACAACTATACAGACAGGTAAGATAAAATAGACAGGTAAAACATGTCACAACTATACAGACAGGTAAGATAAAATAGACAGGTAAAACATGTCACAACTATACAGACAGGTAAGATAAAATAGACAGGTAAAACATGTCACAACTATACAGACAGGTAAGATAAAATAGACAGGTAAAACATGTCACAACTATACAGACAGGTAAGATAAAATAGACAGGTAAAACATGTCACAACTATACAGACAGGTAAGATAAAATAGACAGGTAAAACATGTCACAACTATACAGACAGGTAAGATAAAACAGGTAAAACAACATGTCACAACTATACAGACAGGTAAGATAAAATAGACAGGTAAAACAACATGTCACAACTATACAGACAGGTAAGATAAAATAGACAGGTAAAACATGTCACAACTATACAGACAGGTAAGATAAAATAGACAGGTAAAACATGTCACAACTCTACAGACAGGTAAGATAAAATAGACAGGTAAAACATGTCACAACTATACAGACAGGTAAGATAAAATAGACAGGTAAAACATGACACAACTATACAGACAGGTAAGATAAAATAGACAGGTAAAACATGTCACAACTCTACAGACAGGTAAGATAAAATAGACAGGTAAAACATGTCACAACTATACACACAGGTAATTTAAAATAGACAGGTAAAACATGTCACAACTCTACAGACAGGTAAGATAAAATAGACAGGTAAAACAACATGTCACAACTCTACAGACAGGTAAGATAAAATAGACAGGTAAAACATGTCACAACTATACAGGCAGGTAAGATAAAATAGACAGGTAAAACATGTCACAACTATACAGACAGGTAAGATAAAATAGACAGGTAAAACATGTCACAACTATACAGACAGGTAAGATAAAATAGACAGGTAAAACATGTCACAACTATACAGACAGGTAAGATAAAATAGACAGGTAAAACAACATGTCACAACTCTACAGACAGGTAAGATAAAATAGACAGGTGAAACATGTCACAACTATACAGACAGGTAAGATAAAATAGACAGGTAAAACATGTCACAACTATACAGACAGGTAAGATAAAATAGACAGGTGAAACATGTCACAACTATACAGACAGGTAAGATAAAATAGACAGGTGAAACATGTCACAACTATACAGACAGGTAAGATAAAATAGACAGGTAAAACATGTCACAACTATACAGGCAGGTAAGATAAAATAGACAGGTAAAACATGCCACAACTATACAGGCAGGTAAGATAAAATAGACAGGTAAAACATGTCACAACTCTACAGACAGGTAAGATAAAATAGACAGGTAAAACATGTCACAACTATACAGACAGGTAAGATAAAATAGACAGGTAAAACATGTCACAACTATACAGGCAGGTAAGATAAAATAGACAGGTAAAACATGTCACAACTATAAAGACAGGTAAGATAAAATAGACAGGTAAAACATGTCACAACTATACAGACAGGTAAGATAAAATAGACAGGTAAAACATGTCACAACTATACAGACAGGTAAGATAAAATAGACAGGTAAAACATGTCACAATAATACAGACAGGTAAGATAAAATAGACAGGTAAAACATGTCACAACTATACAGACAGGTAAGATAAAATAGACAGGTAAAACATGTCACAACTATACAGACAGGTAAGATAAAATAGACAGGTAAAACATGTCACAACTATACAGACAGGTAAGATAAAATAGACAGGTAAAACATGTCACAACTATACAGACAGGTAAGATAAAATAGACAGGTAAAACATGTCACAACTATACAGACAGGTAAGATAAAATAGACAGGTAAAACAACATGTCACAACTCTACAGACAGGTAAGATAAAATAGACAGGTAAAACAACATGTCACAACTATACAGACAGGTAAGATAAAATAGACAACTCACGCCTGAGCCCATGCCTAAGGACATGTTCCAGGACAATAAAGAACTGCTGGAGGGGAATGTAGTCGTCATCCAACATGCGACCGTGGGCCAGGGAGGAGTCAATCAATTCTTTAATCAGCAGCTTGGACACGTTCAACAAATTTGCTCGTTCTATTGTCTTTGGGTCCCTTCCTGAAACACAAGAAATATGCCAGACATGTTGGTTTATACATGACAGTATAGCAGCAAATTCAATATGTTGGTGCATACATGCCAGTATTACAGCACCTTCAATGTGTTGGTTTATAAAAAACATATATGAAAGTATGTCTTGTGGTACAGAATGTCTCAAGCATGTCTTGTGGTACAGTGTCTCAAGCATGTCTTGGGGTACAGTGTCTCAAGCATGTCTTGGGGTACAGTGTCTCAAGCATGTCTTGTGGTACAGTGTCTCAAGCATGTCTTGGGGTACAGTGTCTCAAGCATGTCTTGTGATGAAGTGTCTCAAGCATGTCTTGTGATGAAGTGTCTCAAGCATGTCTTGTGGTACAGTGTCTCAAGCATGTCTTGTGGTACAGTGTCTTGTGGTACAGTGTCTCAAGCATGTCTTGGGGTACAGTGTCTCAAGCATGTCTTGTGGTACAGTGTCTCAAGCATGTCTTGGGGTACAGTGTCTCAAGCATGTCTTGTGGTACAGTGTCTCAAGCATGTCTTGTGGTACAGTGTCTCAAGCATGTCTTGTGGTACAGTGTCTTGTGGTACAGTGTCTCAAGCATGTCTTGTGGTACAGTGTCTTGTGGTACAGTGTCTTGTGGTACAGTGTCTCAAGCATGTCTTGGGGTACAGTGTCTTGTGGTACAGTGTCTCAAGCATGTCTTGTGGTACAGTGTCTCAAGCATGTCTTGTGGTACAGTGTCTCAAGCATGTCTTGTGGTACAGTGTCTCAAGCATGTCTTGTGGTACAGTGTCTCAAGCATGTCTTGTGGTACAGTGTCTTGTGGTACAGTGTCTCAAGCATGTCTTGTGGTACAGTGTCTCAAGCATGTCTTGGGGTACAGTGTCTTGTGGTACAGTGTCTCAAGCATGTCTTGTGGTACAGTGTCTCAAGCATGTCTTGTGGTACAGTGTCTCAAGCATGTCTTGTGGTACAGTGTCTCAAGCATGTCTTGTGGTACAGTGTCTCAAGCATGTCTTGTGGTACAGTGTCTTGTGGTACAGTGTCTCAAGCATGTCTTGTGGTACAGTGTCTCAAGCATGTCTTGTGGTACAGTGTCTTGTGGTACAGTGTCTCAAGCATGTCTTGGGGTACAGTGTCTTGTGGTACAGTGTCTCAAGCATGTCTTGGGGTACAGTGTCTCAAGCATGTCTTGGGGTACAGTGTCTCAAGCATGTCTTGTGGTACAGTGTCTTGTGGTACAGTGTCTCAAGCATGTCTTGTGGTACAGTGTCTTGTGGTACAGTGTCTTGTGGTACAGTGTCTCAAGCATGTCTTGGGGTACAGTGTCTTGTGGTACAGTGTCTCAAGCATGTCTTGGGGTACAGTGTCTTGTGGTACAGTGTCTCAAGCATGTCTTGGGGTACAGTGTCTCAAGCATGTCTTGTGGTACAGTGTCTCAAGCATGTCTTGTGGTACAGTGTCTCAAGCATGTCTTGGGGTACAGTGTCTCAAGCATGTCTTGTTGTACAGTGTCTCAAGCATGTCTTGTGGTACAGTGTCTCAAGCATGTCTTGTTGTACAGTGTCTCAAGCATGTCTTGTGGTACAGTGTCTCAAGCATGTCTTGTGGTACAGTGTCTCAAGCATGTCTTGTGGTACAGTGTCTCAAGCATGTCTTGTGGTACAGTGTCTCAAGCATGTCTTGTGGTACAGTGTCTCAAGCATGTCTTGTGGTACAGTGTCTTGTGGTACAGTGTCTCAAGCATGTCTTGTGGTACAGTGTCTTGTGGTACAGTGTCTCAAGCATGTCTTGTGGTACAGTGTCTCAAGCATGTCTTGTGGTACAGTGTCTCAAGCATGTCTTGTGGTACAGTGTCTCAAGCATGTCTTGTGGTACAGTGTCTTGTGGTACAGTGTCTCAAGCATGTCTTGGGGTACAGTGTCTTGTGGTACAGTGTCTCAAGCATGTCTTGGGGTACAGTGTCTCAAGCATGTCTTGGGGTACAGTGTCTCAAGCATGTCTTGTGGTACAGTGTCTCAAGCATGTCTTGGGGTACAGTGTCTCAAGCATGTCTTGTGGTACAGTGTCTCAAGCATGTCTTGTGGTACAGTGTCTCAAGCATGTCTTGTGGTACAGTGTCTTGTGGTACAGTGTCTTGTGGTACAGTGTCTCAAGCATGTCTTGGGGTACAGTGTCTTGTGGTACAGTGCCTCAAGCATGTCTTGGGGTACAGTGTCTTGTGGTACAGTGTCTCAAGCATGTCTTGTGGTACAGTGTCTCAAGCATGTCTTGGGGTACAGTGTCTCAAGCATATCTTGGGGTACAGTGTCTCAAGCATGTCTTGTTGTACAGTGTCTCAAGCATGTCTTGTGGTACAGTGTCTTGTGGTACAGTGTCTCAAGCATGTCTTGTGGTACAGTGTCTCAAGCATGTCTTGTGGTACAGTGTCTCAAGCATGTCTTGTGGTACAGTGTCTCATGTCTTGTGGTACAGTGTCTCATGTCTTGTGGTACAGTGTCTCAAGCATGTCTTGTGGTACAGTGTCTTGTGGTACAGTGTCTCAAGCATGTCTTGTGGTACAGTGTCTCAAGCATGTCTTGTGGTACAGTGTCTCATGTGTTGTGGTACAGTGTCTCAAGTATGTCTTGTGGTACAGTGTCTCAAGCATGTCTTGTGGTACAGTGTCTCAAGCATGTCTTGTGGTACAGTGTCTCAAGCATGTCTTGTGGTACAGTGTCTCAAGCATGTCTTGTGGTACAGTGTCTCAAGCATGTCTTGTGGTACAGTGTCTCATGTCTTGTGGTACAGTGTCTCATGTCTTGTGGTACAGTGTCTCAAGCATGTCTTGTGGTACAGTGTCTTGTGGTACAGTGTCTCAAGCATGTCTTGTGGTACAGTGTCTCAAGCATGTCTTGTGGTACAGTGTCTCAAGCATGTCTTGTGGTACAGTGTCTCAAGCATGTCTTGTGGTACAGTGTCTCAAGCATGTCTTGTGGTACAGTGTCTCAAGCATGTCTTGTGGTACAGTGTCTCAAGCATGTCTTGTGGTACAGTGTCTCAAGCATGTCTTGTGGTACAGTGTCTCATGTCTTGTGGTACAGTGTCTCATGTCTTGTGGTATAGTGTCTCAAGCATGTCTTGTGGTACAGTGTCCCAAGCATGTCTTGTGGTACAGTGTCTTGTGGTACAGTGTCTCAAGCATGTCTTGTGGTACAGTGTCTCAAGCATGTCTTGTGGTACAGTGTCTCAAGCATGTCTTGTGGTACAGTGTCTCAAGCATGTCTTGTGATGAAGCGTCTCAGGCATGTCTTGTGGTACCATCAGGCTCCTCCTCCTGCTCCATCATCTGGACCTCCTCCATCTCCAGGTGGACATCGGCCAGCTCCTTCAGACACAGCCAGTCCCCGTCCACAGACACACGGAAGTTGCACAGGTAAATGGTTTCCTCGGCCATAGTGCCGGCACTATAAGGGTCAGTTGGTGACTCCAAGGGTCAGTTGGTGACTCTAAGTGTCAGTTGGTGACTCTAAGTGTCAGTTGGTGACTCTAAGTGTCAGTTGGTGACTCAAGGGTCAGTTGGTGACTCCAATGTCAGTTGGTGACTCCAATGTCAGTTGGTGACTCCAAGGGTCAGTTGGTGACTCCAAGGGTCAGTTGGTGACTCTAAGTGTCAGTTGGTGACTCAAGGGGTCAGTTGGTGACTCAAGGGTCAGTTGGTGACTCCAATGTCAGTTGGTGACTCCAAGGGTCAGTTGGTGACTCCAAGGGTCAGTTGGTGACTTCAGGGGTCAGTTGGTGACTCCAAGGGTCAGTTGGTGACTCCAAGGGTCAGTTGGTGACTTCAGGGGTCAGTTGGTGACTCCAAGGGTCAGTTGTTGACTCCAAGGGTCAGTCGGTGACTCCAAGCGTCAGTTTATCAACAGTTATTGGTTAACTCCAAAAGTTCTATTATTGTCTTTAACAGACTAGATTATTTGCCTGAGTTTCAGTCTGCCCAACAGAAAAGTTAAACTTCAGCCAGCAGACGGCAGTGTTGTTGTTTTACTACAACTGAAATCTAGCAGATGTATACAGACAATTTTTAGCCCAGCCTCATCAACTCAAACAGTAAACACACCTCGTAAAGCCATAAAAACACCATCAAACGTCAACCAACTTTATACCAACTAAATATTACCAGACAACAACTTAGCGACCATCAAAACATCCACCATTCCTCCCCCCTACTCCCACACAACACGCCCCCAAACATTACATTAACGGCCGTCTGGAAAATCCCAAACCAACATTAGCATTTTCCTGGCAACATTACTGAAGCCCGGGACAGGGACGTGCGACACCCCCCCCCTCCCCCTGCTCATCTTGACCCCTGCTCATCTGGCCAATATCTGCAGCAACGGCCAGCATACGATGTCCGGTCTACGATGTCCGGTCTACGATGTCCGGCATACAATGTCCGGCACACGATGTCCGGCACACAATGTCCGGCATACAATGCCCGGCATACGATGTCCGGCATACAATGTCCGGCATACAATGTCCGGCACACGATGTCCGGCATACAATGTCCGGCACACGATGTCCGGTCTACGATGTCCCGCCTACGATGTCCGGCACACAATGTCCGGCATACAATGTCCGGCCTACAATGTCCGGCACACAATGTCCGGCATACGATGTCCCGCCTACGATGTCCGGCCTACGATGTCCGGCACACAATGTCCGGCACACAATGTCCGGCACACAATGTTCGGCACACAATGTCCGGCACACAATGTCCGGCACACAATGTCCGGCACACAATGTCCGGCACACAATGTCCGGCATACGATGTCCCGCCTACGATGTCCGGCACACAATGTCCGGCACACAATGTCCGGCACACAATGTCCGGCACACAATGTCCGGCACACAATGTCCGGCACACAATGTCCGGCACACAATGTCCGGCATACAATGTCCGGCATACAATGTCCGGCATACAGTCACGTGATCGACAGATAGCCACAGGCCGGCGGACATTAAAATGCTATAATAAAAGGGTGGAGGGGGGGGGGGGGTAACAGCATAATGTCCAGCAGTAAAGAGAATGTGTGTTGTAGTTCGCTTGTGACGTCACTCAGGCAAATCTAATGGCCAGTGTGTGGGGTGTCTAGCCATCTCTAGAGGCTTTGCACAGGACCACGGCTCCTAAACTAAAACTCTAAGACGACTCCTAAACTCTAACACGGCTCCTAAACTCTAACACAGCTCCTAAACTCTAACACGGCTCCTAAACTTCAGTCCTGTAACCCATCACTGAAAAAAGTCCTCTACTGCCCAAAGGATCGAATTATTGAAGGGAAACTCAAAATGAAAAATTCAAGAACTCTGTAGTGGCTGGTCTCATCCAGGGGACAGAAAGAAGGTTAGCCGGAGTGACGGTGTCACTGATAGATGCAGGTCTGTCATACCTGACCCCCCCCCTCCCCCCCCCCCCCCCCCCCCCCCACAATTGAGGTGTACAATAGATGCAGGCCCGTCCCACCTGACCGCTCAATGGAGGTGCACTGATGTACTCAGGTTGGATGTGTTTCAAAACACGGGTATTTTTAGCGGTGCTCACGGAATGAGGCAGACACAGGGATATCCCGAGGAATGTGTTGTGTACCTGTGTGAGGCATGTCATTGATACACCTGCATGTAGCGGTGATACTACACATAACTGATTCGTTTACACGCTGGGAATGGAAGGCTTGCGGTACTTTCTTTGGATGGCTCAATACAACCTAACATTGTAGGTACCATCAACGTCTACCAAAGTATGAGAGGTACCATCACAGTATACCAAAACATCAGTGGTACCAACAAAATATACCAAAACATCAGTGGTACCAACAAAGTATACCAAAACATCAGTGGTACCAACAAAGTATACCAAAACATCAGTGGTACCATCAAAGTATACCAAAACATCAGTGGTACCAACAAAGTATACCAAAACATCAGTGGTACCATCAAAGTATACCAATACAACAACAGCACCAGAGATCTTGTGTGAAGTCGAAATGAAGTAAACACCGACAAGCCTTAGACTCTACAACACAACAGCATTCAGCTCACACCGGGTATATTTAACCGACACGACCTGGTCACACCGGGTATATTTAGCCGACACGACCTGGTCACACCGGGTATATTTAGCCGACACGACCTGCTCACACCGGGTATATTTAGCCGACACGACCTGCTCACACCGGGTATATTTAGCCGACACGACCTGCTCACACCGGGTATATTTAGCCGACACGACCTGCACACACCGGGTATATTTAGCCGACACGACCTGCTCACACCGGGTATATTTAGCCGACACGACCTGCTCACACCGGGTATATTTAGCCGACACGACCTGCTCACACCGGGTATATTTAGCCGACACGACCTGCTCACACCGGGTATATTTAGCCGACACGACCTGCTCACACCGGGTATATTTAGCCGACACGACCTGCTCACACCGGGTATATTTAGCCGACACGACCTGCTCACACCGGGTATATTTAGCCGACACGACCTGCACACACCGGGTATATTTAGCCGACACGATCAAGTGACCTGCTCACTCTAAGACTCCACTAGAGAAAAAGATCGGCACCATCATAGCGAGTCTGTCCCCAGCACTATCACAATCAACATGCTAGCGTCTACATCAACTGCTTGCTTGTACGGCCAACAACAGCACGCATGGTACCAGAATACCAGGCAGGACTGGGGACAAGTAGACGGCAGCACAGGTAAACACGTCTAGCACCGACAGTCGCCAGATGCCAGACACGACGTCAGCACCACAACTAAACACAGTTAAACACTGCCAACCCGAGTTGAACACTGCTAAACACAATGAACCATGAGAAACTGTGAGCGAGCACACTTGATGAACTAAACACGGGCTCTGTTAGAATGTTCCACCAGACAGCACGGGCGGGCGTACAACGGTCTGGTGGCGAGGGGGGGGGGGTGTATTGATTTTTTACATTCCCCATGATCAACAAGGAAAAGATGGATGCCAAAGTAGAAAGACGCCGTCATTGAAATATTCATCTTAGATTTATAAAACAAAACAAGAACAGTTTTGAAAGAGTAAAAGTATTTGGGTAAAAATTGCGTTTTTGTTGGAGGTTGGTGTAGCGAGTTGATGTAGTAGTTGGTGTAGGAGTTTGTGAGTCGCCAGTCTGTCGAGTCGTGAGCCAACACAACAGGCGGCAGTGTCTGCCACAGCAAGGCGGGGTGGGGCGGGGGTGGGGGGGCATGGCCCATCGATTGATATTCTTCCCTTCCCACAATCCCAGCGGTTCAATACTGCCGGAGGCGGGGGAGTGATTTGACAACAGACATCTCTAGAACAGTGAGAACATTCAGAGTCAGTTCAGGCGCATGCGCGAACAGATCAAGTTTCCTTTTGATACTGATGTCAATGATTATAAATAGATGGCCATTGATAAAAACCGTTTAACCTGGCTACTATCAACCAGAGAAGATGTGAACTCTTCATCTGCCCAATGGATCACTAGGTCTGAAGATTATTTACTTTACGATCAGAAATCGTCTATAGTGCTAGAGCAATCAAAAGTGCCGGCACTTTTAATAAGTGCAGCGAGAAAATAGATTAAAATATAAGAACTGTTTGATTTTTTGTCTGTCGGTTTGTTTAGCCATTCTTTCTATTTTTTTCTTCCCTTACCGAATCTTCCTTTTCAACAATACAGAAATAATAATTTCAGGGGGTGGGATTGAATGCAAGTAACAAATATGATTTAACATGTGTGTTATGATACACGAGCCGGCCCGCGGCATAACATACGCCGCTATTTAGTTGTTTCTAATTTTCAATAATTCATAATTTGTGAATTCGACAGTACCAACGCTGACACTGAAAATATTTCTTTAAAACACTATAAGTAGCTCGTTAAGGACCATAACCCCCCCCCCCTTCCTTACCTCCCCCCCTCCCTTCCTTCCCTCCCCCCTCCTCCCCCCCCCCCCCCCCCTACGTTTAAAATCGTTGGCTCTGCTTGTAAACATTTAGAGTGAACACAGCTCACTAAAACCATGTAGGGGTGGGGAGGTAGGGAGAGCGTTTGCAGCTTGTTTTCTAACGGCTCGAAGAAGAGAATTATATATATAGATATTAGTAGGTGGCGGGTGTGTGTGTGTGTGGGGGGGGGGGGGTGCAGCAAAGAAGACACAAATCACGTAGACCATTACAATAATGAACTCCTTGTGTTTGGTAGGTAGGTTTAGCTTAACAGCTAACAAACAAGTCGGTAGACTAAATCTTGCCGTCTGCGTACCATTAAAAAATACGGACAACAGAGTCAAGAAACCGTCACAACAAACAGCCAATCAAAGCGTAGGCGATTACGTCACCTCTCCAGCGTTAGGGGAGGGGGGAGTTATCGATTGCTCTGTGCATTATGGGACGCCGACTGCACGCGCT